AATATTGAATAAATTGGTATAATTAGTATAGAGTTCTATGCTAGGTTCATTTCAAGCTTTAATACATTTGCTTAGGAAAATCAGATTTATATACTGATGACAAAGGTGTCAAAAAGTCAGTTCCTGAAGCTGCAGTTGACTGAGAGCGTGGTAACACATATAATGTTAATCTACATTGTGTGGTTTTTCTATTGCCAACATGCGAAAATAAGATGCTACAATGGAGTTAAAACAGGCTTTTGCAAAGTGAGCACAATTCAGAAAAGTTATGCAACTCATTCAAACAATTTGAATATAGCAGAAAAAGAAATCATAGCACCTTCTACAATGGCACGTAATGGTTTACTATTTCCTTAGGGCAGATCATGTGAGTGCACCAGCACTCATCTACATTCATTTCATTCAACGTAACAGCAGCCATCATTAGTTTTCCCTGTAGCTGAATTGCATTATTCCAGAAATCTTCTGCTCTGTTAATAAGGCTACTCATTTCCTAATTCTCAGGGGAGAAGGGGGGGTTATATTTGATTTTCTATTTTGGAAACAGCAATTTTGTCTTCAGTACTGTTGTTCCTGATGCTATTATCTTCCTCTAAGCTATCTTTCCATTTTTATTTTTGTTTCTCTTCAAATTCATATCCCCATGCCTGGATTAGCCAGATCTCAGCTCAGTTGCATTTTCTGCTGGTCATTTTTCTGAGCAGGCTTCTGCAAATGTGTTCACTGGTTCATTGTAAGCAAGATTTTTTTTTCTGATGATCCGCATTTGTGGACAAACGTAAAGATAGGCTGTTTCCTTGAACTGTTATTTTCAACCTGCCTGGACAGGAGAAACAGATTCTGACCATTCCTCAGTTATTTCGCACAGGTAGAGAACTTGGGGATGGGGAGGAGTCAGCCTCTTAACATCAGGCTGGGACATGCTCTGTAGCTGTGAGATTCTCACTGCTTTCAAAGAGCTTCCAAACCCAGGGTGAAGTGAGGGAAAAATCTGTCCTCTGGGAAAGGGGCTGTGGGGGGAATCACTCTTTCACTTTTTGTTCTGCTTCAGAGCCACTCAGAAACAGTTGAGGGATTCTCTCTACTTTTGACTGTATTCAGCCCTGGTATGATGCAAAAGTTTTATTCTTGGCTCCTACCCCCACCAGTCCTCTGAAAGAACAGGATCATTCACTCATGTTCTCCTTAGTGGGGTCGCAGAGAAGAAACAAGGAACTATCTTGCTATTTCTAAGTGTGTTTCAGCCCAGTTCAAGCTTAATTAATGACCCTGACCTATTCCTGATGAAAAAGATCAGCTTCATCCCATGTCAAGTTGAGATACAGAGTATCTTCTATGTCTTAACCAAGCTTCATACAGAACAAGAGCTTCTCTCTATTCTCTGTGCACTGGGAGAGATGCAGTGAGCATAAATAATGTACTGGGTCGAAGGGCAAAAATCATGAACCCCTGTTCCTGAATACCATAACTAAGAACACTATTCTAGAACATGAGATTGACTGAACACATAAGGGAAGCCACAGCCTTGAACTTAGAAATGCTGAGCAGGGCTGTTGTGGACAGGACATTGATGGAGTCACCCACACCAAGCAACAAATTCCTGATCACCATAAGCTCACCCTGTTAGTTTATTTGCATTCCTTCAGCCTATTACTGCTACTTCTTTATCTTCAAATCATAATCCTTCCCATATTCATACCATCAAAGACTGTTACTTCAGGAATTCGTGCAGACAATCAGGTAATTCACATGTCAGCAATTTCATTAAGGAATTCAGCACAATGTCTCCCACAGTAAAGCCAGAAATAATCACTGTGTTTTTGTTTACATGAAGTGATGAAACAGTGTTAGGTGAATATGACTGTGCTAAGAGTGACTAACAAATCAAACACTGAAATATGTTAACTGACATATTTGGAGCAAAAATTAGAGAGTGAAGCAACATTTAGAATACTAGCAGGACTAGAGGAATGGTCAAATGGAAGAATGGTAACAGACGTGGGCCAAGTCTGAAGAAAACTAGAAAAAGATAAAATATAAAACCAGAATGGAAATGTCAGGAAGACAAGGGATTAGAATCAGGAAAAGATAATCAAATAGTCTAGCAAATATGCTTCAATAAATTTATTAACAATATCTGACTTTAGCATTTTTTTACTTTGAGACACAGAAATAATTTTAATCTTATTAAAATATGGTGACATATTTTGGGAGTCACCATCCATATCAGCAATTCATAAACTGGAAGAAGTAGACTCTAGTCCACTAAAGCTTATCCTGTAATAAATATCTCAGTTTTCAAACATGCCATAAGGCTCCTTCTGCTGTGATAGACTAACACAGCAGCATCTTTGAATGCTGCTGAAAGTTTATCTATAGCATGTCAATCATCAGCACTAGAATTCCATAAGCAATGTATGAGGAACAAGGTGCAATTTTTCACACTGGGAACAGTAGGTTAGAACTGCATGAGGAAGTAATCTGGTCACAAGTTGAAGACACATACATAATAAAATGACGTAGTATTGCAGCTCTTATTCAGTAATGTGGGGCAGACAATCTTTCAATACGTTTGCTTAATCACATCACTGTTCCTGTTTGGCAAAAGATATGGAAACAAATGTTGCACAATACATATACAATAGCATTGCTGAATGGGACTGAAACAGCAGAATGATCTAGGATTTAATTACTGTCCTAAAAGTTTTGGAAAAACTTCAGAAACATTTTAGTTTAGTGCAATCATGTCAATATTCCTTTAAAAGCAACTATACTTCAACTTGTAGAAGATTTTTTCCCTAGCCTATAACAGGGACAATCAGATAAGGAATAGCACTGCTTCCTGACAAACTTTTTCATAAATTATGTTTCTTAGAATTCAGTCTCAGTTCTGTCTCTCCCTCTCTGTTCCTCTCTCTGTGAGCATGTTAAATTATCTCTGGCCACCTATCTGTGGATATAAGCCTGAAAAAAGTGTGTTTACATGCACACATGTCTAAATGGTTCAGACAAAGAGAACAAATAAGAACTTTTCACATTATTTGTTTTAGAAATCAAAAACACAGTTTATGATTTTACATACCTAAAAAGCACAGAAAAATTGCTATAAATGAATATGTAGCATTCAATGCAATCAAAAAAATTTTGCAGAACAGTACATGCCTACCAGCTTTAGCCTGGCATGTATTAGAAGTAAATTATATTATAAGTGTCTCTGTAATATTACAAAGAATCTGTAGCTAGCTTCTGGTGCATAGAACAGTACACACTTCCCTCAGCAATTGGTTACGTCTCCATGGGAAGTCCATCTTGGCTAAAGGATATACTTTTGTTTATTCTGAATATCAGAAAGTAATCAAATGAAAAAATACTTTAAATGCTTGCATGCCTCAAAGCCTCTGTTCACTCCTCCACATTGCCTGAACTATTACTCTGTCTAAATACAATGCATTCTTCAGAACTGATGAAGCACTTAATCACTGCACAACAAATTCAAACCTTACCCAGAGGCAGTGCACATGGAAGTATTACTAGATCAGAAGCAAAGCCTTTTAAAGGAGTCTAATCTGACCTGCCACTAGGCAAAAGCAAAATTAGGTCAGTCATTTTATAAAGTTATCTTTTCAATTATAGGTTCTGGATTAAAATTAAAATTTAACTACTAGGATTGGTAACTACTACATTTAACAAAATGAATCAATGCCAAGAAAACAAATAAAAAGCAGTGCCTTTAAAGAGAGATACCAGTTCAACTGACAATGTTGAGGAAGTTTTGAAAATATCCAAACTCAGAAAATGATTAGGACTAATCTGCAATTTACTGCAAGGGTGGGCAGCAGTTAGATTAGGCTCTACTAACAGATCTCCGGATCATCTGCAATAGATTGACAAGGGTTTCCCACAACCACCACCAAAAGTCCAAAACCTTAGGCTGCTGAAATTGATAAAATTGGTTGACTTGTCTGTAAAGGATACGAGATCATTTCTCATACTAAAACAATATCTTGGTTTGAGCATTTGCTCAGATACATCTTGTTCCTCAATTTGTTCCACCCCACAACTATTTTGTACCTGGTAGATCCCAAAGTTCAAGTTAAACAAGCAAACAAACAACCCTAGTAGATCTAGCATACAGGAAATCTGCTCACTCTTGATAGAGAATAAGAAAGTGAATGTTGATGACCTAGATGCAAAGAACTGAACAATTAAAACCTTAGATTGAAAAAAGTAGAACATTTCCTTGAACAACAAAAGATACATTCAATAAGTAAGCCCTTCATGATTAATCTTGAAAGGTTTCATGTTAATCATACTCAGGCTTTCACATTTTTGCTCATCATGGCAACTGTGTCACCACCCTTTAGTTAGAATAACAAGTAACCAGTCTTCTTGACAACCCTGAAGCTGAACTGCTGGGATAGGGATCATCCCAGCAGTGCAGTGATCCCCAGCTGCAACTTCTGAAAGAAGGCTGGTCACTGTTTGGACACTGAAAACAGCCTTAGTTATCATCTAAGCAAACCCTCTGTCGGCACAGGTTCTACAATACAGGATACAGCAGCAACATCTGATAGATGGATGTCCAGACTTTGCTTAAATATCTCCAGTGAAGGACACTTCACCATCTCCCAAGGCAGTCCACTTTATTCTTGAATAGCTCATACTATTAGAAAGTGTCTTCTAAAGCTTAGCAAGAATCTGCTTCCATGCAATTTCAACCAACTAGTTCTAGTCCCGCCTTTTGGAACAACAAAGATCAAGTCTGCTCTATCTTCTGTGTGGCAGCCCTTCAGATTTTTGAAGACTACTACTATGTCTCCCATTCATTTTCTCTTTTCCAGGCTAAACATACTGCTGTGTTTCCCAGCTGAGCCACTTAAATTATCTCCAGCTGACTCATCACACAATAAACCCAATTTTCTTGAATTATCAAAGCAAACTGGCTGCTAGCAACAGAATGAGCATTTGTCTTTTATATAATTAGCATATTAGACACTTACCCTAACAGGAGGACTCCGTGCTTGTACTCTTTGCTGCTGTCCACTTTGAGCATTCTGAAGGTCTTTTGGAATGCAGTTAGCAACAGTGCTAGTCTGGGCCCTTAATGAATTTGCGCAACTCACCAAACTACCAGGTTTCCGAGGCCTCTGTTTGATGCCGTCCAGTAGTCGAACCAGCAAAATATTACTGGGAAGTTCTTCAACACCACAGTCTACTAACGTCCTGCATTCTGGACATCGAAGCTCATTTCGGGAGCTTACAATGCCTAATAGACACCGTTTGCAAAATGTATGTTGACAAGGCAGGACTTTTGCAGAAGCATCAAGGCGTTCTAAACAGACAGGACACTCCAACAGATCCAACAAGGCTGACTCGTCCATCTTTGAGGAATAAGGAATAAGGAATAAGATTTCACAAAATGTACATCCTTTCTGAACATATTAAGAGATTCATGTTATATCCATGCCTTGTCACTCTTCTCTCTGAAATTTGTGACATAAGAAAGAGAGCTGCATTAGTTATAATGGGAAATGGAATAAGGGTGATTCAACAGCAGAATTCTTGTTAGTTGCATATGTCATAATTCTTACAAATCAATAACACTTAAAAAAATTGCTAAACATGAATCCCTTAGAAGTGCTCATGTTTATTATGTAATCCAGTTCCCTTTGTTTTTAATACGTTAGGAAGTGTCGCATGTGACAGGACTTATTAAATTAACTGACCTTATCAAAGCAGCTTCTGCAACCAAAATTTAAAATTCTATCTTCCAAGGATAACTGGTCTTTCTTCTGAGTGAATTGTTCAACATAATTGTACTAGTTATTAGGTGAAGTTGCCCTAACTTTATTGCCTTTCACTGGTGAAAGTCAGCCCTCATGGCCAAGAGCAGAGTACTATTAAACTTAAGAGAATCCTCAAACTTCCAGTGTTACAGAATACAAATAGTCCACTTTAATTACTGCTGCCATAAACCTGAAAACATTTTCAAGATACTTCAAAATGTAAGACACTTTCATTTCCATTGACAGATGGAAGCAAATAAATAAATAAACAAATGATTTAAAAGTCTCCAAATGTTAATCTTTATTAATGAAAGTCATCTTATTTAGATAGGAAATACAATTCCAGGAGGTAAACAATATATGATACTAAACAAAATGAGATCTAAGTATTCAAAAGTATCTTACTATGTAACAGTTAATAATTATCAGTAAAAATTCAAGCTTTATCCTGAACATTTTTAAAATCAAAGACCCAATGGATAGGATCCCAAACTGTACTACTAATTTATTGTCCAAAAGAGATCTCTAGGTCTGTGTTTTTGTGAACAGTAGTCCTCACCCTATAAGATGGAGAATCCTTTAAAAAAAAAAAGATGGAACTTTCAAAACAAAAAGCACTGTAGTATCTGCTGTTCAAACACTCAGTCTCACTGGGTGTGCCCAAACCCCTGGGTGCATCTTAACCAGCTCTTTGGAGTACAATAAAATATTTTAAGAGTTCATACTCTTCAAAACTATCCTTTGACATCAAACTTTTAAAGTGTTTCACAGGGGGAAAAAAAGATGAACTACAGCAGATCTTATGATCATGGATACCATAAATATATTTCTTAAGACAGTTCTGACCACATCTTATATATCAACAGCCTTCCAAAGACCTGAAATTCAATCTATTTGCCAGGAAGAACAAACGCAACATTGAAATTGTTTCAATTCTGCAGCAGTCTAGCAAAAAGAGTTGGGGAAAAAATCTTATAAGCAAGGTTATTCTTCAAGCAAGATATGGTTTTTCAATATTTATTGCACTGACACATATTACATAACTATTTTCATTCAGAATAAGTCTGAATAAGCAGCCAGTAGAAGACTACTATAGTGGCCAACTATTAGAATATGAGAAGATATCTAATTTGATTAGAAACAAGAGACTTTAGTAAAAGTTAATTCCAAGGCGGGGGAAAGGGAAGCAGAGGGGAGTACGGCAGCTTGCTTCCAAGAAATACGGGAAAGGCTTTAAGATTCTTGTTGTGAGTGAGTGGAGAGGAAAAAGCCCTGGAACGGAACTTGACAGACACAACGCCTTCCCTGGGAGATCTAGATGGCGTAAATTAAGCATTATGGCTTCCAGTACGTGCATGGGATACGTTATAGCGATGCCCATGCAACGAAGAGAAAAGCCCATCCGCAAACACATAAACACGAGAAGACAGAAGACAGTCGCTGGCCTTGGGAAACATGCATTGTGTACATAAGCCATCAGTTCCCTTAACCGGCAGACCACTGGAGGGCGAGTGCGGTCTCTATGGAGATTTCACCGGCGGTGTCTCGTTACCAAAGGTGGACAAACAGAGGGCTCGCCTGAACCCTCCTCACGGAGGCTCGGCGGCTGCTGATACGGGGAGGCAAGGTTCCATCAGCGGGAGCATTCCCCTTCCCTTCCCTTCCCTCCCCTCTCCGCGGCCCCGGGCAAGAAGGCAGCGCAGCTGGAGCCGGGAGCAGGCACTCGCCGCCCCGCTCCACCGCCTCAACTCACCATCTCCGCAGCGTCCGTCGGAGCCGGGAAGGGCGCCCCTCCTCTGCCGCGCAGACCTCGCTTTCGCGCCTCTTTGTTCCCGCGAGGAGGAGCCGCGTCCGCCACGGCGCTCAGTCTCGCCCAACGCGGCACCAGGGCGCTCCTCGCTACGCGCCTGCTCTTCCCCCCATCCCACTTCCTTCCTTCCTTCCTTCCGTCCGTTCTTCCCTCCCTCGCCAAAAGGGGGCTGACGCGGGAAGCCGCCCCGCCTCAAGGAAGGAGCCCGGCTCGGAGGTGGAGGAGCGGGCTGCGAGCAGGAGGCTCGGGCGAGCGGGCAGGCACGCACGCCCAGCCGTCGCTTCCTGGAACTCCTGGCCTCCCCGGGCGGGCGGGCGGAGCGCTCGCTGTCTCGCTCGCACGCTGCCCCTGAGGGGGATTTTTATGGCAGAGCACGCAGGCAGCCTTCCCTAAAGAGCTCCGTTCCCCGCCCTTTAGGAGCAGACCAGCCTTTCCAGCCGCCTCTCCCTCCCCTTAGAACATCCTCGCTCCCGCCCATAATCCCACTCCAGCCTGGTGCCTGGATCCAGCCCCTCCACCCGCCCACTCTTTCCCCTCGGGCACCCCGGCTCGGCTCTCCTTCCCAGCCTTCACAGAGTCCCTTTAGTTTGGAACCATCTAAACCTTTAATCACTGCCTTCTTCTCCAAGCAAAGCGCCACCGCCATCGCCAGATACTTGCATGTTTCACCCTCACCACAGGCACTAGCAGCAGGGCGAATGAGTATAAGCAAGCAGCTGACAACGGCGAAGAGTTTGAAATGCACAGGCCCCAGGAACGAAGACCCTTGCTGGTGCACAGCAAAGCAGGGAATGACAGGTAAAATGCAGCTGCACTCTGGGCGGCTCTTTTAGCCTGGGAAAAAGAGACAGCGCAGTAAAAAAAAAAAAAAGCCAAGACTGAAGAGGACTTTATCGTGCTCATAAGAACTGCGTTGCTACGCATAGCAAGCAATTGAAGAGACCAAACACGCTTAAAAACATGCCCCTGAATGGCCACTGGAAATTGCACTACTTCCACTGAAATGGCCATGAGAATACACTGCGTATTTGAAAGGCCACTGGCATGCATCTGAGAGTGATTGTTAGTTTGCACAGTGGTCTTTCTGCCCTGGCATTAAGCTTAACCAGTGTTCATCCCTTCATTTAGTTAGCCATGGATAATGTTAGTTAAAACAACTGAGTTTAATCATTTCAGGTTGTGATTTGTTCATTTGAGGAACAGTTCCCTGGAGTTGTCACAACTCTGGGTGCGTTGCCAATCTGTGGCTGCTTCTCACAGTTGCATCAGTTGACTGCATATATGTCTGTGAAGCAAGCAAGGATTAAGCTCCACATACAGAATTTGGTATTCCATCCTGGTTCCTCTCAGATACAACACATTTCAGAGGAGTCAGTTCATTTAGCTGAAAGCATCAATTGATGAGAGATGGTGATAAGACCCATGGGGGGAGCTAATCAAAGTGCAGGTTTGTACTTGTATAGGCTCTACAAAGTTTCAGACCTCCATAACTAATGGGAACTCTCTATATGAACTTACCCCTACATTAGGCAGGGCGGGCAACCTCTCTGAGTGGAATCCTGAAGGGACTGATGGTGTGGTGGGCTGGGAAGATAGGACTATGCACACACTCACTCTCCCCTTTCCTTTAAGGAAGATTTTGGTTTGTTTTTGCCCTTCCAGTGAAGTTAAGTCCCAGTGGTGTGGTTTTTAGGTTCTGAATTGGATTTGCATCTCTCAGATTTTGTAATGGGATATAAGATCTTAATCCTCCTAGGAGTTTCGTCTCACAGAAGATAGAAGGTGCTCTGTAATATTATGCAGTTGCATGGAGTATTATATAAAAGGGAAACTCTTCCTAATAAAATATTAAAAAACTGGTGCACAGCAAATGTGATCATATGAATCTCTGGTTCAGATTACAGCAATATATATAGGTAACTACTTAATCAAAACGACTCCCATCTAAAGTAAAGGATGAAACTAGTACATTAAAACTGACAAAAACAAAAGGTAATGTTTTTGGTCTTTCAGAGAATTATAAAGCTTGAGAGCTTGGATTGAAATCTGGCAGTACTCATCTTACTGAATATCTGCAGCAAGATTAACATCACTAACTAGATAACAAAAAAAGCACATGAGATGTCAAAACACTGATAGTAGCAGCAGGAAGTGAGGGCATGTGTAGCATATGATACTGGATACACAAAATGTTATGGGAAAGCATATCAAGAGATGACAAATCTAATTCCTGGCTAGCAATGTTATCAAAATCCATGAGGCTAACATTCACTACATTAACAGATTTACCGTTATATGTCACACCTCCAACAATGTAAGTCTCTTCAGAATATAAAATTGTAACAAGTTTCTAGAAGAATACATGACCTGCTGTTTCCATATACATGGGTTTATAATGCAATGTAGCTTTGACTGAAACCTGGACAGTTATTTTGTTACATGCAAAATTACCAAAAGTGTATTAACCATAAAAAGTATATTAACCACTCAATCTTTCTGAAATACATTCTTTTCTAATGCAGCTTGTGTGGAAATATTCAAATACAATACTAATTATACAAACCATAGGTCCCCTCTCCAGCACATTTGAACTGACCATAATTTTAATACGTTTCAAAGGAAGCTGTTCCAGAGCTGTAAACCTCATTTGAAATCCTATTACACAGACAAGTACACACACACACACACACCTGTTCTAGGAGGGTTCCCATTCCTATGAGGTTTCCTGCTCAGAACTCAAGAATGGCTTTTCTTGATTTCAGTGGAAAAAGCCAACCTATGCACACTTTCCAATCTGCATATGAGGTGGTTCCCTCTGTTGAAAAGAATGCTCAGTTCTAATTGTGAATGTACAAATTATGATTTTTTGGGCTGTGTGACCAAGCTGTTCTTCTGCCTCAAAGTTTCTATTAGATAATCCTCTGAACTAACAGAAGAGAAGTAGGTGTTCAAAACTCCACATGATGAAGAGGGGGGATGTGCTAAGTGGCCTCAACTTGTACCACCCAATCCTGTTGCCCTCTGCATCAGAGAATGAACATCTGCAATGAACCTACTGTATTGTATATGCATAGCTTGCAGTGAAGGAGATGCCAGCTAGTATATTCTGGGTCCCCCCTCTAAGTCTTGTGAGACCTTGGATGCCTGAACAAAGTTAGATTCTTAACCTTTGCTCTTAGACAGTTATATCAGTACTTCTTCTACTTCAAATGCTCTTTGAACCAGGTCCAATTTAAAGCCATTCTTTTTCAAACATGGAAAATGTTTAACCCGCAGTGCGTGAACATAGAATTTCACATGGCAGCTCATCAATTCTTGAATAATATTTCCTTATCCTTGTTCAAATTGTTCTAGTCAATATATGAACTGACTTTGCTTTCTTTGCTGCTCTATTGTATTATAGTCACTGTATCTTATAAGAGCTTTAGCAGGTTTAATACTTTCTCTGGCGGTGTATCTATAACTGACATTAAAGCAGGTACAGTGCTTAAGGTCATAATCCAGTTGTCCATAAACTACTGAATTTAGAAGAATGAGCATACAATGCTGAGCAGGAGTAGTGGTGGAGGCATTGGTTGCCTCGCACTCACTCCACTCTGCATTAGCTGGGATGCTTTCGAAGAGGCAGGAAGACTGGAATACTGCCTCCTTTAACCCCTTTCTGAGGTTTCTTGCGTCCGACCTCAGAGCTTTCAATCTGAATTATCACACTGCCCCAGCCAATGTCTTAGAGTCCATCAGATCGTTCTCTAAATCACAATTTCTGTTGCAACCATTTGAAATCATGCTAAATGACAAAGAGTATCCAAAAATAGAAGCACTTTTTAAAAAATTTCTAATCCTGTATGTAACCTGTAGAAAGAAATGAAGTCCAAACTAGTTGACTATCAAGAGCCAAACAGAATTGTTGCATTTTTGACGAACAAACCCATTCTACTGCATGTTGTAGTTCTATTCAGTTCTGTCTCGTTCTGACAAAAAACCCAATGTCCATTAAGAAGTGCTGGTTTTATGCTGTTTACTCACCATACTGATCCCATTATTTATTTTATTCTCTCAGTGGGTTCTTCTCTCTTTTCTTCTTTCATTTAGGGTTTTCAGAAACCACTTCCAGTACCTTGGTTCACGAACTGAATCCGTTCCATGACTCTGGTTGTGACCCAAATTGGTTGTGACCCAAGTCAAATTTCCCCATAAGGTTCAATGTAAATAAGGTTAATGCATTCTGTAACTTTATTTTTTAATCAGAAATTTTGAAACAAAGTGACAAAGAACAACAAAGTAACAAAGTACTGTACAATGTGATGTTCGTCCATCATTTTTCGATGAGGACCTTGACATCTAATGGGGTGAGAGTTGTCCACAGTGTGTCCGCAGGTGGCTGATAAGGCCAATACGGGCACGGAGTGTTCTGCCACATGTCAGGCAGATGTGTGGGCACCACTGTTGCAACATCTGGCTTTACAGAGTGCTTGTTTCTCTTGTGTTATGGTTGTCCTTCTGGCTTCAGAAGTTTAGCAGCCTTGGTGGATCAGCGTGTGCCATGTCGATCTGTCTTGTGCCAGGGTCTCCCAGGAGGTGGTGTCAATAACCAGGGACTTGAGAGAGGCTTTAAACGTGTCTTTGTATCGCTTCTTTTGTCCCCTGTGCGATCGCTTTCCTTGAGACAGCCCACCATAGAAGAGCTGTCTGGGGATGCAGTGATCTGGCATCCTTGCAACATGGCCTGCCCAGCATGCCTGGGCTTTCATCAGCAGGGTGTGTACTGATGGCAGGCCTGCTCTGGAGAGGACCTCTGTGTCTGGCACCTTATCTTGCCACCGGATCCTCAAAAGTCTGCAAAGACAAGTCGTGTGGAAGTGGTTCAGTTGCCTAGCTTGCCTCCTGTATACTGTCCAAGTCTCACTGGCATACATCAGGGTAGTTAACACTACTGCTTGGTAGACTTTAAGCTTTGTAACAAGGCTTATTCCATGGCGGTCCCACACTTTGGTCTGCAGTCTGCCGAATGCAGAGCTTGCCTTGGCGATTCTGCAGTTGACCTCGATGTCAATTGTCACTGCGTGGGAAAGGGTGCTGCCCAGGTATATAAATTGGTCCACTGCTTGCAGCTTTTATCCCTCCACTGTGATGGTGGGCTCTTGGTATTGGGCTTTCAGAGCTGGCTGATGCATCACTTTGGTTTTCTCTGTGTTGATGAGGAGGCCGAAGTTGTCGCACGCTACTGCAAATTTGTCCATGCTGGC